TAAAATTGAATTTTTTTCGACATAGATGAGTGAATGTAAGTTAGTCATGATCTTTTTTTTGTTTAGGTTTTAGTAACTATGTTATAGTATTGTGTGTGTTTTTTAGATTGTGAATTCTTAATTATTTTTAAAAAACTATATTTGACCTATTTGTGTTTAGTTTTGTGTATATTAAACACTTTATAAGTTTATTTTTAAGTTTAATAAAGTTTATGTATGTGATTTAGTTCTAAATTTGATTTTAGGGTTTTGGAAGACTTAAAATTTTGAAGATATAATGCATTAGAAGACTCTGGATAACTTAACAACAGTTTTCCGCTTAAAATTTTAAAAGAATTTAGGTTTCCCACCTAGAGTAAGTTTTCTAGGCAAATAGTAAGTCTTTTGGGCAAATAGAAAGTCTTCTTGGTGAATAGTAAGTCTTATGGGAGAATAGTAAATTTTCTGAGTGAATAGTAAATTTAGGATCTAGTAGACTTCTTGGAAGACTTTCATATAAAGTCTTCTGTGTCGAAAATGTTTAACCTAATTGGAATTTTTGTCTTCTTATAAAAATAAAAATTTACACATTCTTATTCTTCCTCTCAAATGGAGGCAGCAAAAATGTAATATTTGTCTCTATTTAACTATTTGAAGTTGATAACACCAAACATTATATCAATTTTTTTTTATGTGTTTCTCACTATTTTATCTTATTTTTTTCAGGTTTTTCATTACATAGATGTCATCTTTCACTCATTTAAAATGTTTCACTCATTAAGCTTAAAAACATTTTTTTTTGAATTTTCTCTGTTTTGATGTCATTTGAACGTTTTTGGATATGCATTTTTTTCAGATCTGAGTAAGATTTTGGAAGACTTTCAGAAGAAGTTCAGAAGACTTTCCTGGAAGTCTTCTGGCGAAGTCTTATGTCTTCTGACGTAGTTTTAAGTCTTCTGACGTAGTCTTCTTCCATGTCTCCTCTTTCACAACAGATCTGAGCGTTTTGGTAAATTTCCATGTCTGATTTTTCTTCATTTAGTAATCTCTTATTGCATAAAGCGCTTATCTTTTTTCCAAACTAAAATTCTCCAACTTCTCTTTAATCTCTTTAAACATGAAAACACCAAACTTTATATCAATTTCTCATTTTTTCCTTATGTCCTCTAATTTATCTTGTTTTTGCAGGTTTTTCAGATCTGAGTCAGACATTGGAAGACTTTATAGAAGACATTCAGAAGACGTTCATAAGACTTTCTTGGAAGTCTTTTGGTGTAATCTTAAGTCGTTTGACGTACTCTTAAGTTTTCTGACGTCTCTTCTCATATCAAGTGGAGTCCAAGCTTGTCTTTGTAGAGAAATGATCTATAATAGTTTTGTTTGTGGTCTGTCTTGTGATTTGTATGTGTACTTTTTAGTTCTGATATTTTTGTAAATTTGAAGAAATTTTAATGAAAATATGGTAAATATGTCTATTGTCCAAAATTACTTGACATTATTAAAGTAAACAAAAGTAGAATAAAAGTATGGTTCTATACTTGTAGAATCAATAATAATATTTCTCAAGATGTAATATATGTACTAACAATCTGTTTTCCACTCTTACAAATCAATGAAATAAAAAACTTCAATGGCCTTCAAATGCAAAACATGATGTTCATTGTGTAATTCTTCTCATCTTTGGATCTCCTATACTCTGAAAAAAAGCTTGTAACTGTAAACACCTTCTTTTTATTAACTTATAATAGTAGTTCATCACTTTTAACTTCTAAGAAGTAAAACCAACAAAGTCTTTAAGAAGTAAAACCAAAACATTTTGTAATTATAAAAAACTAAGATGTATAATGAATATGTTAACTCTTCCAACTTCATTTTCATGTACACATTATAATCTTCTTGAAATTATTTCACTTTTGAAAGTTAAAAACTTATCTTAAATTACTTAAAATTTTTAAAAATACAAGTTTACAAAAACTAACGTAGAAGACTTCTACGGAAGACTTTTGCGTGAAGACTTCTTAAATAAGTTTTCTCAGATTAGCTAGAAACATTAAAAACATGAATATTAATAACCTCATAATTAGCACCCATTAAACTATGAATTTCATTCAGGACCCCAAATATTGTCTAAAACACATGAATTAACAATAAAATCTTTAAAATTCATTTTAAATTTGAAAAAAATGAAAGTTTATTATAAATTTAGGTCATTTTTGTAATTGAAAATTTGCAAAGGAAGAATTTTAGAGAATTCTCCTCTATAGGAGACTTCTTTTGAAAGCTTCCTTTGTAAATATTGGCTTACTTTTGTAATAGAAAAATTCTTGAAAACACATGAGAAGACTTACCTGGAAGTCTACTCGGATAAACATGTTAGTTTTGCAATTAACCAATCTGTGTTAGAAATTTGACTTTTTACGGAAGACTTCCTGGTAAGTCTTCCGGCAGAAGACTTATCTGAAAGTCTTCTCACTTTTACATTAAGTCTACTCACTGTCGCTGTAAGTCTGCGTAGGTTACTTTTGCAGTTGACTATATTGACTTTTGTTGAGAAGACTTTCAGGTAAGTTTTCCGTCAAAAGACTTACATGTAAGTCTTCTTTGATTATCTTAGGTTTGACCAGAATCATGGAATAAAAATCTGGAAGACTTACCTGAAAGTCTCTCAATTTAAATTAATGTTTTAAGTTTAAATTTTCAATTTCAAAGTAGCCTACGCATACTTCAGTAGACTTAATGTAAAGGTTGAGAAGACTTCCATGTAAGTCTTCGGCCGGATAGATTTATTTGTATAATTAATTAAAGTCTCTATTTTTATTTTTTTAAATAAAGAAAGGGATTTATTGTTTAAATATGAAGTTTTGAAGAAAATGAAGTTACGACAGTGTAAAAATATATATTTCTATTAACATATATTTTTTTCATAAATTTGAAGTGCGTTATTTAAAATCCGCTACATATTATATGTGGTGCGGTTTTGTAGTATTATCCACTACTTTACAATGTAAATACTGTGTGTGCGGTTTTCTTATTTATTTTTCTAAAAACGCACTTCAGTAAAAAATATTTGTGAATGGTAAACCATATATGGTTTTGACAATTCCACAATGAATTCCACGAATTACATGTCGCCATTCTCAACCCAAAAACAATAAACGCGTTCTAGGTTCCGATTGTTTGAGACTGTAAAGACTTTTGCTGCCAAGGCTTTTAAATTTAATTTGGCTGTTAGAACCTTTGCTGTTGAAATATTTAATATGGCTTTAGAAATATTTAAAAACATAGAATTGTGGCTTTAAGAAAAACAAACAACGTAAAGTGTAAAATCAGTTACTATGGCTGGGAGAAATTTAAGGAGAGCTTTTAAGACTTTAGAGAGTTTAAAGCCTGATTGGCAATAAAGTGACTTTAAAGACTGCAATAAAGCGACTTTAAAGACTTTAGAATAGAAATAAAGTCTCAACAGCCATCGCAGCTTAATCACCAATCGGAACCCTAATATTCAATTTTAAACATCAACCGTAAACCCGCAAATTACTAACACACAATCATTTAAAACTAAAACACAACTATACCTATGGATTGGAACAACTGTAATGTGATTAAAGATAACAAATCAATACTTCTATATTTCAATTCAGATGTTTAAATCAAATTCTTATCACTGATCTGGCGATCTCTACCAAATGATTAAGTTTAAACTTTATAAACTACCAAAAATGGAAATCCAGTGTTATGTTTTTAATCATTTTTAGATTTGTAGAATAATATTTAAAACCATCAAGTTTAAGTAGAAAGAGAATAATCTTAAAATAAGGAAGTTAAATCTGAGTAGATGTTGACTCAAAGGTTGGTCAAAACACAACTGCTTGGAGATAATTATCCACGTCATTCTGGGTGTTACTGTATAGACATTTTGGAGTAAATATTTTGGCATAAAACAATTTTACTCTGAATTTAGCTCAAATATAATCAGTCAGGTTCACTACCAGTGTTTTACTTTTACTCTGTGTAGTATTCATAAAGTGGAAAAAGCAGTGTAAGTTTTACTCTCGAATTGACAAGAGAAATAACATTAGCGCTCATTTTGGTTTCTCTTTCATCATTTCACATTTTAATATTTACTCTGTTTTCCACCTTTTTATTTACTCTGCATTCTTCCAGAATTTCCAGTCATAACCTCTGTTTGTTTTTTCTCCCAACTTGTCAATTTCTTTAATAGTATATCCTGAAATATTACAAAATCTGAACAACACAGCTGTTCTTCTTGAGTCCTCTTTTTTTTTGCTGCTAAAGACTCAATTTATTTCCTTATTTCACAATTCAGGACAGATTTTCTCAGTTTTTCTAAGATATTGTTTTATTCTAATGTTCTCTTTCTTCTCAAAAAAATTCTTTATTTTAGATTATCTTGTACTATTTTAACAAAATAAAGCTTGTCCTTTATTATTAATAGCACCAGCATAGCCTGACCATTCTATAAAGTCAATGTGGATTAATATAAGTATAAATTTAAATTAAATTCAGGAAAACCATTCTATTTATCTAAAACAAATAAACTTCTCAATTTATCAAATTAAAAACTGACTTTTGAGAAATAACAGAAATAAATGACAAAAAAACCCGTGTCAAGAGATAAATATTTAACAAACTATGAGGAAAAGATATTTCAAAAGAAGCTCACATTTTCTGAGCGTGTGGAACATTGAATAAGCATCGTTACATGAGATACATAAGTAAGAGCGCGTGATTATGGTGCAAAAAAGGATACAGACAGAATAACATCCTTTGTTTTGTAATTTCAGTTTGAGGACACAATACAAGTTAAGTTTTCTCCCTAAGGACTCACACTGTCTCCAAATATACATGAAGGACTTTTTGATTGGATTAATATAAATACCTTTCTTCATTCTCTTGCACCTTCATCAATATTTTCACAACATATTCGTTATTTCATCACTTTTTCTGTCTTTAATTTGCGTAACAACTTCCTAACACGATGACTGTTCTTGCTGAACATTATGTATCCGGTAACTTTTCATTTTCTTTCTTCTAATTTCATAGAATACTGTATTTTTTAATCTAAATTTTATGCATAGATTAGGTTTGAATAGTTATAGTCGTAGTAAGATAAGATCATAATCTCAAACTCACGTTACCCTTTTGTATTTCTTAACCACCGTATCATGGTGTCAAAATAATAGTGTTAGTACAATTATTGTCAAGATCATTAGTTTTTTTTTTTTGTTATTGTTTGCACAACATTTGATATCTTTTGAGATATAGCCTATAAGTATAGAAAATAAATATTGCAGGGTACTGAGACTAGCTAAAACAAGATGTTATTACATTTTTATTATTCTTTTGCTGACGATTTTAGATACAAGAAGTGAACGAGGAAAGGGATGATGAATTGGTGTTGGATGGAGGTTTCCTGGCTCCAAAATCTAAAGAAACTGATGGATTCGATGCTCCTGATATCAATTTTATGGGCCACTCTTTTAGGTTTGTGCTTTTTTTTTTGCCTCTCTAGAGATACACTATTGAATTTAATTAGTGTATCAACTAATACTCATATAATTCATCAAAGAATTACAATATCTTTATCTATTTAGGGATTATGACAATGGTGCAAATGAGAGACAACAAGGTGTTGAAGAATTCTACAGAATGCAACACATTCATCAGAATTATGACTTTGTAAGCTAATTAACTTCTCTTTTGGAAAGGCTAATTAAACTAAAAGTATATATTGTAAACTGAAACTTAATTACTTCGAAAAAATTGGACATGTGAAAAAAATGAGAAAAGAGTATGGTAAACTTAACAAAATGGAAATTAATGAGTATATGGGAATGTTGTGAGCTATTGAACAATGTGGTCGATGAGAGCCATCCTGATCTCGATGAGCCTCAAATTCAACACCTTCTCGGCTTCTCCAAACTGCTGAAGCCATTCACAGGGATTACCCTAACGAAGATTGGTTTTATCTCACTGCTCTAATCCACGGTACATGTCTTCTTCTACTATATATTTTTTCCGCTATATCATAACTATACCTATATATATATACAATATATATTTGAACATTTTCAGTGAATCGTATACAGTACTTGTCAATGGCGCTGGTTGATATATTTTTAATTTAAGCCGAGAGGTCCAAAATGATAAATGACTGCTAGGTGAAGTTTTCAATGAAGCTGGTTGAGTGACATGAAGTTCGATAAATGTCTTCCTCCGACGTTATAAATGTTGCATATAAAACGGCCAATAGTTCTAAGATTTTTTTTGTTGTACCCTTCTTTTTGGAATATAACGTGTTATAACATAAGCTGTATTGGGGAATTAATTTATATCTAAGCTACTGAATTTTTTTAATACTCTTGGTTAGAATACATGCAAAAGATAATCTTGTGTCAGTATTGGACTTTGAATTGCTGTTGTTTTTTTATACAGATCTTAGAAAGGTTCTCCTTTTGCCAGAATTCGGTGGTCTTCCTCAGCGGGCTGTTATTGGTATGTGTATCAAATATGAATTATCCTAGTACAAGTTTTTGTGGACTTAAGTTCCAAAAAAAAAGTTTTTTGTGGACTATAGAAGAGTCTAGAATTATATTTCATTTAATTCTGTAAAATAGCAACAAAATTGTACATAATTTAACACGTCCACTGAATTGTAGGCGATACATTTCCAGTTGGATGCACCTTCGACCCGGCCAGTATTCACAAGGTAAGAAAATATACTACACTAGGTCTATTAGTAGAATATTGTGGATTTTGTGAAAGAGAAGTTTGACTCTATTTCTAACATACGTGATGAAAAAGTTATGTTAATTAGTATATTTACTACTGTTACATTGCAGTATTTCAAAGAAAATCCTGATAAAAATACTCCAAAGTACAACATCAAAATGGAGTTTACAGTGAAAGGATGTGGACTGGACAATGTCCTTATGTCATGGGGTCATGACGACTACATGTATTTGGTATTTTTTTCTTTCTTATTTTTATTATCATTATGATTCAGAAATCAACCAAAACTTGTGATATGACTGATCTGATAATTTAAAATAGGTGGCTAAGGAGAACGACACAACTCTGCCTCACGTAGGCCTCTTCATTATTCGATACCACTCCTTTTATTGTACGTATTCAAACGTGTTTATATGGTTTCCTTCCAGAAATTAAGTATAGATATCAGCATCTTTTTCATTACTTGTAACATTCTAAAAAATATTTGTGCAGCATTGCACAAGGCGGGAACCTACCCACACTTGATGAGCGAAGAAGACAGGGAGGATCTCAAGTGGCTCCATGTATTCAAGTAAAATTTCATTTATTTATTTTATGTTATGACACTATTCTATTCTCCATTTTTTGTTTATTCTTACGAGTTTTAAATAATATTGCAGTAAATATGACCTATACAGTAAGAGAAAAGTTCATGTAGATGTCGAACAAGTAAAGCCCTAATACATTTCCCTTATCAACAAGGTAAAAGTACTTTCTATAGAGCTTACAAAAAGTACTTTATATAAACAATCTCGCATATGTTAATTTCCAGATTTGTAAAGATGGTATGCATTTTTGTGACTGCAGTATTTTCCGGCGAAACTAAAATGGTGAAAGATAAAATTGGGAGATCACTAATTACATTTTACTTGGAGGACGAGACTGAAGTTTGATGAGTTTCTACTGCATAAGACGAGAGTTTAAATTATCTAATAAAAAGTTATAGTGTTCATTCTTCTTTTCTTTTCCCAATCATTTTAAGAATAGTGTTGTATTTTATCAGAAAATAAAGAAATTTCTATTTTTGATATTTCAATCTCTACGGTCAATTATCAAATAAATTGGACTGCTGAACAAAATTACATTTGTATCTTGTTAAGCTGCGATTGTAGCCATGCATGTAGCACATTAAGGTTTTGATGACGACCACTAAAATATGTTGAGTTGAAACAAGATTTTTAATTAATGAAACTTAATGGAAGTAAAGAATGGAAAAATTCACCATAAGAGCATCCAAAAGACTTTTTATAACTTCAAATATAAGGTTTTTGTTCTCGAAAAGAAACTTTAAAAATTCAAATTTGAAAAGTTTTTTGTTCTCCTAAAAGAAACTTCAAAACTTCCAATTTGAAGTTATGGGGAGTGAAGTTTCACTTCTCAAAACTTTAAATTTGAAGTTTCATCTTTTATTTTTAATTTAGTTCTTATATTTACATATCTTATTTATGATTCTTAAGTATTTTATTATTTATCATTTTAATCTTTAAAAAAATTTATATCTAACAAGTCTTCAAATTTATTTCTATAAACTAAGCTTTACACATAAAATTAAATATTTTTTTTAAAAAAGATTTATATTATTTTAAAAGTAGAATTAAACAATAAGAATATTACAAAACAAACTTAATTAAAAAAATCTTTTTTAAAAAGGTATATGAAGAAATAATTACTATAGAAATGTAAATATTACAACAAAATTAATAATCTGGTAAATCTGCCCCGGAAGCTCCAGAATCTTCAAATACAAACAAGTTTTTTGTAACCGAAGATGGTTGTTCTTGTTTTTCTTGATGTCTTTATCGTATGATTCTTTTTTGTTCGGAACGAATATACTCACGAGTATTAATATCACCGATAGAAGATAAGTTTGTTAGCAATATTTTATTTGCCTCTTTTACTTCTTTAAAGCTAAAAGAGGATTTCTTACTTCGAAATGAACTAGTTGATCACATATGGGAGCATTACGGAAATTATTTTTACGGAATAATGTGGTTTTTTTTTCTTGTAGTTTAATATTTAATTATGTATTTCTATTTCTAGTTTTATATTTTAATGTAAACTTTTATTAATTAATATTATTGTAATAGTTATAGGGAATTTTTGGTAGATAACAACATAAACATTTTTTATTAGGGAAATGAACAAGCTCCTTTGCACTTTCAAATAATACCAAGACTCTCCCTACTTACCTATGAAACATAGCTTCAAGCGTGGGAGAGATAGAAGGTTCAAACCTGTCGTGTAATAATGATCAAAATCTCGGAAATGTTGGAAACCAGCATATATCTTTTATGCAAAAACCCAATATATCTTCTGCAAAAACCCAATTTCGGTACCGCAAATTCCCTTTATAAAACAAGGTTATGAAACAATCACTCTAAATTTCGTTCAATATCGATATAGAAACTACAAACCAGTCGAAATGGTCTCTTGTAAATTAGTCAATTTCCCAGAAGATGTTGTCAGCGAGACGAGTGAATCCGAAGTCACTATACCAGAGATGATGTTCGCGGACGGCGAGGAACCCATCGGTTTCAGATTTCTTACATATCAATCCTACCGATCTATCAACACCATCCTTAATGCATTGAAGGAAGACGAGATCCAGTTTTTCAGAGAGTCATCGTTCGGTAAGATTGTCAATGTTGCTGAATAACCAGCCTTCTCTGCGATATTCGCTCGTTTTCTACTATCGAGGTAGCTGAAGGTCGAGAAGAAACATGAAGCTTGGTTTCGATTCGCAGGAACGCCTATTCGGTTTTCCGTATGGGAGTTTGGCATCGTGACGGGGCTACCATGCGGTGAAGTTCCCAAAAAACAGAGCTTGAAGAGGAAAAAAACATTAAGGAGAAACAATATTGGCCGGAGCTATTTGGTAGTGTCGAAGAGATGAAAGTATCTAAGGCTATAAAGATGCTCTGTAAAACAGATCCAGAAATCCGGATGAAACTTGCATGTTTAGCTATCGCCTCCTCTGTCTTGTTGTCCACAAATCTGAAAATGAAGATGCTTAAGGAACATGCAGATCTGCTTGAAGATATTGATGAGTTTTTTGCTTTTCCATGGGGTCGTCTAGTGTTTGATATGCTGATGACAAGTATTAAAAAGAGGGATGAGATATCACTTTCTCAAAATACCATAGCACTGAAAGGTTTTGCTTTAGCTATTCAACTCGTTATTGTAGAAGCCATCCCTGCTTTGACAGAAGTGGTTCAAGAAACATGTTCCTCATCGGAATCAGAAAGTGATGAAGACAAGAATAACTGTCCGGTAAGCAAGACAAAAAGCAGACATTGAGTCCAGCTCATGCATGTGAGGTTGACAGAAAATCAGAGGTATTCATTATTTTTTTTGCATTCCAATTTATAGTTTTAAATGCTATGAAATGGGAATTGATGTCTCTGATTGCATTACATTGGCCTCTTTGAGGTGAATATACATTAAACTATCTATATTAATTTGTTGTCTGCTCCTTCGTTTATCCTATACAGGTTGTAATAAGAAGTATCATTCCGCAAGACCCTGAATGGCCAATGGAAGAGTCCTTATTTGTTTAGGCAGACAAAGTTGTTGATATTAAAGTAGAGAACCTGGTTAGGCTCATTCTGTCGAACTATGTCTTTTCAAAGGATATGTTCAAAGGTGGTGCTACAAAAGCCGATGTAGAGAAGATGCGGTAACAAGCTAAAGTTACAGTAAAAAAGACAAGGCAACTCAACTAACACGGGTAGAGAGGCATTCGATGAAGGAAAAATTACCTCGGTTTTTCTTTCAATTCTGAGACCTGAGGTTCAGAGGCTTGATGGTAAAGTCGATTCTGCGATTGCTTCCGTGAAAGAGGTATCAAGATCATCAGCCCAGTGCCAAGCATCCATCGTTGTGTCTGTTGAGGCAATGCTTGCAGCATTTAAAACATAACTCATCGTTTCATTTTCCCGCAATGGCCAGCCTGCTCCAGAGCCTCAAAATATATCGCCATTTCCTGGAAATGTGCCAATGCCAGCGGCAGCAGCATCCATAAACGTCGGTGGACATGGTGGGGACGAAAATGATGCTATTACAGGAAATGTCATACAAAATCTAAGCCAGTATTCCCCCCCCCACGAAATCGGAATCCAGTCTTATCCGTAAGTTTTGCCTTCTTTTTTATTTTTATTACTTTTGTTTGTTCATAGTTATGTGTTATGAGAGTATACTGTAGTAAACTTTAGTGTTATGGCCGCATTTTAAAGTAGTTTGAGTTTAATTTGGCTGCACCAGTTCGGCGTCCGTGTTGTCATTGCTACATCCTGTTATTTTGTAACGCATGTGTGTTGTTCCTTAGTGTCAGTTTTTTCTATATATAATTTTTTCCTAGATTTTTAAAAAATAGTTTGTTGCATGAATACTTACTCTCATGGCTCCGATTGTCGATCACATTGTCGACGTTCTCCAATTCCTTTTGCTGCTCGTGTGGATGACAACAACGACAACTTTCAAGCTGCCTCACCGAAAACAGTCCCGGTATGTGTATTTTCCCATCTTTCCTACTTATATTTGGTTGTATAGATTTTTTACTGTCATAAACTAGTTTGGGTTTGATATGGCTGCACTTGAATATCATCATTATGTTTATTTTAGAAAGGTATTTTGGGTGAATATGTGAATTTTGTTAATGATTTTTTTGAGTTGTATAATATAATCCAGATCTGTAACACGATAACCGGATGTATAATCTGAGCCGGATTTGAAACTTAATAACAAGAAACTTAATCTCTTTAAACAAATATACCCCCTTATATTGTTTCAAGTTATGTATGTTTATTTGCTGTGGCCTATGGTTTTAGTTTTGTATGTTAATGTTCTTCATTAGTTAATTGTTTTAAAGGATGAGGACGGGTGCTCCCAACGACAACAAGTTTCTGGTTCAGCTGGTGGTGTTGTTGAGAACAACCATCAACGTTGTGCTTGTTTGGTGGGCGACAAGGACAACCAGCCTCTAGGTGGTTCACCACGTCAGGCACGTTATTGCGCTAGATCACCTGTATGTATATTTTTGGCTATTTTTTCCAGTATCATTAATAAATTTATGTGATAATGTAGCCTAACTAATTATGGTAATTATTTACTAATAATTCAGGTCCCTTCTTTTTCATTGGGTCTGACTCAGGAACTTAACTCCCTAAACCAGGGTGTAGAAGATGAGATGTAGCTACTCCTAATGATGGAGCGGGTGATGTACATGACGGCACTGTACTATGCCGTCAAAGCAAACGTCTAAGGACTGTCCCTAAGTTTTTGCTAATTGGTTATCAGTGCGGCACCTCCATTATTAATCGTGCTCGGGAAGGGCAGCTGGGTGCTGCTAACTATTATGATATGTCAGTTATCCGTGACAATATGGGCATCTTACGACAATACTGAAGAAACCTTGGTACCAGAAAAATTCCATCCGATCTCTTTTTAATATTTTCATATCTTGGTTTGTTTGTAGATAATAGTTTCACTTTTTGGCATTTTTTTCTTTCTTTTTGCATGAAGGGTTATAAAAGTCGGCCCTCTGTCCATCACTGAAAAAGATATTATAGATATAGCGAATAGAAACCGTTTGTTACCCGGGAAGGCAAGTATTCCAGATGTAGGTTATTTACCATATTTCCTACATATCTTATGGTAACAATGTATTGTATGCAGGTTGTAGACATCCTGATCCATCTCGTCGGATCACACTTTGAAAACCAAGTAACTGAGAAAGGAGAGCATACCGTGTCATTTTTTGATACTTGGTTTGCCTCCTTGTTGTGTAGGAGCCATCCAAAGTTCAAAAAATCAAAGGGAAAGTCTGCTTTCATTTTTTCAAAGGGTTTTGTTGACTATGTTACCAAGAGTTGCAGTTCTTTGAAAACAGCTATGCGTTTCTACCTTCCCTTCAACATCAGGAAAAGACATTGGATTGGTCTGTGTTTGGACTTGTCAGTGTCAAAACTTCTTGTGTTTGACTGCAATGCAGGAGTTCACACCGAAAATGATCTATCTAAGGAAATCCAACCCTTTTCCGAAATGCTTCCTTTGTTGTTGAAGCAATGTGGTGTTCTTGCTGCTGCCGTGGGTAAACCACTCATTCTTGAAAGGATCGATGGTGTTCCCCATAATCCCGACCCAGCCGATTCTGGTCAGACTGCATGTTTGTTGATTCAAAACCATGCTAAATTTGGTTTTGATGCGTGTAGGTCAATCACCCCTTCTGTTATCCCGGATGAGGCACATAAGCTGCTGTTATGATCTTTAAGTTTCATGTTAATCTCTAGGTTGTGTTTTATTATATTGTTGCAATATTTTCTAAATAAGTAGAGAGATCATCTGGATTCTAGTTATCATTGTATCATCACAGTTATGGTATCAATCGCTTCTTTTATTTCCGTACGTTGAAGTTATGTTTGTGTAAGTTGAAGTGTCATTTTGATTTGAAAACGTAGATAGTGTCATCGTTATAATACCATCAACGATGAACAAAATCTATACCTTCGACGTGAAGCCGGTTATATGTTCATTTGAAAATACCTTTACAAAACTTAATACTTATATGTCCTCTTATATATTGTCCAAAAAAAAAAAACTTCCCTACATATTGTAATAATGCAATAACTGTATCTCTGAATAAATCTGGATTCATTGTTGCCTACATATTGTAATAATGTAATAACCGGATCCTTGAATAAATCTGGCTTCATTGTTATAAGTGATATATTTTACAAGATATCTTTTTTTTCTTTAAGGACATATCAAAGGATATTTAAATATTAAACATTAGTTGATTACTTATAGTCCCTCACGGGTTCATCTTACATCCATAAAAGATATTAAACGGTTTATCTTACAAAACACCATAACATATATCACATAAAGGGTTAACCTTATAGCTATTCCTACTATTAGAGGTCCAATTTTATAACATAGCAGGTACCAAATGGAGTAAACACAAACATTTTCCCTTCCACTTCTTATATATAACTGAAGACCATAGATTCCCTTCACTCGGTTCCTTACTGATTTCCTTCGACACCACCAGAAGTTCCATCATCTTCATCTTCTGCAAACCTATTGCCCTATTCTTGTTCATGTGCAGTCGCCTCCCTAACTTCGAGCTTTATGTTTGCCACATTTGCCCCTACCTTGGAGGATTCACCTAGTAATCATAAAAAACACATTATGCAATAAGTAATTCACATTATAACGGGTATATATCATCTCATAAAAGAGTTACTAATTTAATAATAATTCTGCTTTTTATATTATGACTGCATGTGGTGGGGTTCAACATTTCCAATAGTGAGATCGGTATGTTGGTATCCTGTGTATTCAGAACCTGTAACCCCATAAATGCTCTGTAGATGCAAGGCGTAACTTGAAGCCATCAAGCTTTCATAATAACCGGGACTCATTTCGTGACTTCATTTGGAGCATAAGCTACATTCACTCCACCGTACATTGATGGAAAATACGGAGTTTCGTAAGATGGAGACAGGAGATATTTCTGCATAGATAGTATAAAAGGCAATATTAATACTCCCATATTTGTTATATTTTTCTCATAGTTAATACTAATACTCTCTTATACTTAAGAAGCAGGGATTTATAGTTACCGATTTCTTGTCTCATACCATAACCAGGCATTCCAATGAATGGAAGTAATTCTGGTATCGGCTGGCTTATATCCGCATTATAGTCCACGTTAGGGACCATGTGATCACTCATATCAGCATCAGCTCCGACATTTAGGTCAATACTGTTTTTGGGTTTCTCCAGCTCCATGGAGAAATGGTAAATGAGGACCAGTTTTTCTTCATTATAAACGTCAGAATGTATTTGAGCACTGCACTTTAGCTCGGTATTCCTCATCATCTCTGCAATGTTGTATATATCATTATACATTTGTAACACTACGAAACGGGTGAAAATTAAATTTTATGGCATAAAAAAATACTACCACTTATCGTTGCCATATGTTGTTCCTCGGTGACACCATCTCCAAGAAATCTAAACCTTCCAATTGTAAATGGAGCCCTGCATATGAATTGGTACTTAGCAACATCCTCAGCTCTAAACACTAAGTATAATTCCGGGTATGTGTTCCACTCGTGAACACTCATCAGCAACTCAGCGTCAGTAGTTGATAGCATGTTCTGTGTGTGGGGGGGGGGGCATGTTTCACCATCCGGTTCAAGCATTATTGGAGGGAGCTGGAACGTGAAAACAAGGAGAGTTTGGGGGGGGGGGGTAAGATGGTACACACTCCTAAGAATCCCTTTTAGAGATTTGATTTCTTCATTTTGCTTGATAAGGATATCACGAGAGCTTTAGGCTGGATCTTCGTCAAATCTCCAAACCCCCTGCTGAGATTTTGACCATTGTCCTTTGACAACACGAACTATACGAATCATCTGCAAAAATAACTCAGTAAATTGGTTATAACAAACATCAAAGAGAGATTTGGAAGTCAAATAAAGAAATATCAGACATTTTGTTTCTATGTAGTGGTCCCTAATGATCGCTCCCTAAACCAAAATTCAAATGACAATACTTACCTTTTTTGTTCCAGGTAGCTTCCGGTTGCTTTTTTTTATTTTTCGGTATCTTTAGGTAAGTTATGTGATGATTATATGGTATGTGGATGTGTATTTATATAGCCAAATACTCATCTACGGTTTAAAAGTAGACCACATAATCTTAACCATATCTCCTCATTAAATGTTTGCAGCCTAGCTAGAGCTATAAGTACATCATTACGCTTTTCTGACATGACAAAACAGATTTTGACTAATTTCTTGAACATTAATTCCACCATTATCTTTAGTAAATCTTGAGCCAAAGTATTCTCTCGTAAGTAAACTTATTAAAATATCTTCAATAGTAGAATGGTGTAAGACGTGAGTAAATACGGTCTGGTAACATAAAATATTACAAAAAACATTTTTTACTCACTCCAACACATAAGCAAATCATGTTGGTCTGATTTAGTTTTATATCTAACTAATTGGTATTATGTACTATTCCATGTATAATAAGGACCAGGTGATACTAATTATTTTGGTGTTAAATTAGGCTTCATTCAACTGTTTATTTTAGGATAGTATTTTAGTGTTAAACAAATAATACCCGGTTTCCGCACAATTTTATTTCCCGATTTACATACTCTAATAGATGCAATGTGTAAAATATAGCAATACCACTTACGCCATTCTCGGTTAATGTCTTCATGTGGGTTTTTTGGTTATTTTTTATTATGGCTCAATTACGTGAATATACAAATTTTGAGTATTTTGGTATTGCATACGATTTTATAATGTTTCTAGTAACCATAGCTTAAGTGGTGTAATGGTGCATCACGTCATTGTATCTGATAATTGTTTTTTGTTGCAGACCACCGGCTTGCTGTATCAAGTTCTAAATTTAGGACTTATAATAGGCTCAATATATGGCTTAAATTTAGGGCCAATTCCTAATTTAATATTTAAAACAAAACAATTTAATATGAATATCTATGGGTTATAGCTAGTTTTCCTGTTATGTTATCATCTTACATAACTATGTTGTCAGATTATTATGTACATCTGTCAGGAATAATTACGCTATTGTTGACTTTACAATGTCTATATATCCTGATTTAAATGCGATGTATATCTGTTTTCAATGTTTTTATAGAGGTTTATATGGTTGTATTCTATTGTAGTGTCCAATTTTAACAATCCTGAATAATGACAACTTAACTCATTTGGTTAGTGCTATCGTTCCCAACCTCGGGAATGAAAAATGCATTTATTTATATTATAACCTCTGGAATTAGATATTCTGGCCACACCCCACATAATTATTTGTATCATCAATGGTTTTTTGGTAGATGACTACCATGGTAACATCCTCCACAACTTACATACACCTTCACCATCCGAGGGTTTACATTTCTATATTACAAACTTCCATCTTTATATTGCCATTTTACATGTTTCTCTGTTATGACCAGAACACTTGCATCGCGTTTCCACACTCTCATACTCAACAACTGGTGATATTATTCAGAAACCAATGAATCAATCCTTACCTTGTACCTAGTAGCGGCAACAACCGCGTGGATGCACGGAATCATTAAGGCTTGAAATTCGTAGCAGGTACATGTCTTCTCTTTCAGATTTACATCAAAAATGTCCCCTGCTTTGTCTCTGACTTCGTTCTGACCATCTCTGATTATGCTCTTTCCAAACACCCCACTTCTTTAAAAATTTGATGTTACTATCTCTTAGATCTGAGGAGTCAGAATATTATTTCCATCCGCTTGTATCTCTCTTCTTGTGGAAAACCAAGTCATAATCTTAGCACAAGTATACTCGAATAGAGATAATATTGAGTATTCGCGAGTCTCACGTAACACCGAGTTCCATGTCTCAGCCACATTACTTGTCATACTATTGTACCGATTCTCCTTGAAATGCGATCTGGCCCAATATGCAAATCCTATCCCGATTAGATAGTCGGCACATGACGAATTAACGCGTCTAATTTCATTGAAAGTAGTATAAAAGTCCGAAATCCTATAAGCTTGGGCGGCTTTGACAACTAGATAACCCAAATACTTGTCCTTGAAATAGGATCGAACATTCGGCTTCAGGTGAAGTATGCATGTGCAGTGTCTGCGCTTTGGGTATACCTATACATACATAAAATTTTGTAATATATTATATTCTGATTTATTACAAGTATCCGGTTATAAACATTATATTAAATTAATTTATCCGGTTTTATAAATATATGAAAGTCCAAATGATAAAGCTTAACCTTTGCAATTCCATAGTAAATAGATGGATGCATGTCTGAAACAAACACCACTTCTTCGTTATTTGGGATGCGATGAGTGAGTTTATTGAAAAACCATTCTCAAGCTTTATCATTTTCTCCATCAACCACCGCAACGGCCAACGGAAAAACTTGGTAATTTCCATCTTGCGCAGTAGCAGTGTGCAAGCACCCAACATACTTTCCTTACAAATGCATCCCATCTACAATAACGACCTTCATCATTACTTTGTACCCTTCTATGCTTGCAGACAAAGCATGAACATGTACTTGAATCTATGACCAATGATGTCAGTATACTCAGTATGGAAATCTGCAAAAGTACTAGGATTTGAATGAACGAGTTTGTTCAAATAGGATGGCAATAGGTTGTAAGATGATTCACAAGAACCCTTTGCGTAGTCCAAAGCAAATTCTCTTGAACTCCACGATCTCTAGTATGATATGTTGACATTGTGTTCTCCTTGCAAAACTTGCATTATATCATTTGGACTTGCAAATCTTGCTTTCATCATTCCTGCAATCATAGTAAGTGTCGCTTGACATTGGTATCCAAACAGTTCACTGACAGAACAGGAATGATGGAATTTCAATGTTCTAATTTCATATAACTCTGTATTTTTGAAGGTGACTGCATAGACTCGCCAATTGCAGGTCATTGAGAAGCATCTCAGAACGCCCGGTACGAAATCTGATTTTTTTCCGTATGGCATACATTTCCAAATGTTGCTTGAAGACTTCGTGATTTTTGAATTTCGTTCCAACGTATAGTACATCAGGGTTATGAATGTTATTTCCTGCATATGATTTGTGGAAAGAAAAGTAATTAATTTCATTGATACTTCAACAATTGCTACAAATACAACATATTTCAAAATGGTTAGTACTTATAGCTTTGAGACCTACCGTTGCATACAGGAATCTCTGAAGAGTCACCTATAAAACCTTTGTCACATAGTTTAGAGAAGTCATCTTCCGGTCCTTTACATTCATAAATTTCATTTTGGCTGTCCAGATCCATCGGTTCATACTATTTTGGTTCTTCGTTACAACCAGTTAAAAATTATTATTCCGGTTTCAATTATGTGTTGAATACAAAATCCGGTAATAATTTTGTATAACTGACTAATAGTTCATGAAGTCATGTTTTGGGTTGTCAACCTTGTGTTATTTTAATAATCGGATATATGCTATCTTTTGGATGTTAAAGAATACTACAATCGTATATTTATTATAAACCGGGCTGTCCTGATCCATCGGTTATACCGTACTGGTTCTGCGGTACTCCCAGTTGTAAATTATTATTTCGGTTTCAATTATTTGTTGTATACAAAATCCTGTAACAATTTTGTATAACCGGCTAACATTTAACACAAATTCATGTTTTTGGATATTAAAGAATACTACAATCGTATATTTATTATAAATTGGATAAAGAATCTGATAATGGGCTAACCTAATGATTATCAGATTTTACCGCGGCAGCAACATAATTACATAAAGTTACGTACCTTCTTGTATCCTCCCACCTACGGTGCCCTCTGCATTTTCCCCAGATGCATGTAGTTTATGTCATCTTTGGCACCAGAGATATGAATTCTTTCAGCATCGTTTGTTGACCCAATAGATGATTCTCCGACTTCAACTATGACTGGATAGTGCATAGTATTATACGGTTTTTTTGTGGTAGTGTCATTTGAGAAGGTGACTACGTTCTCAACTACCCTCTGGTTCACACTTTCGCTTTTTCTATTCTCGTCATCCATTTTTATCAAAACTTTTTCATTCATCTGCCTCATTTTCTTTATTCTTCTCCTTCGAATGGAAAAAAGAGATGCTCCATTATTTCCACGTTCGGTGTTTGAAATATTCTGATATAATTCATCATGCTTCTATGGAGGTGACGTTCGTATTTCTGCATGTATTAAGCGCCCAGAATTTTTATTAGTACTCAATAAACATATATAATTACAGTAGATGACATATCTGGTTAACTGCGGCCATATTTAAATACATTCAAATATGTACCATTTCTATGGAAGCTTGAATACTCCGATCTGTATGAGGTGGTGGATGTTTTTGGTTTATGTTTGCCCCGTGAAGTTCATCACCTGTAATATTTGAAACGTCTGGAACATCCTCATGGCGCGGCTTGACATTGCAATTAAACCGGTTTCTTGCTTTATCAATCTCAAAGGATAACCGATAGAAAAGCACCAGGTTATTCTCACTGAATATTTCTCCAAGTCCATGGCCAGTAAAATCAATTTCGTCATCGCCGACCAAATCTTCAAAATAAATGCATAAACTTCAGTATGTACTACCTTCTATT